TATAGAAACAGAACTATCAGAACAGGGAAAATTAAGCCAGGTTTTAATTTGATAAGAGTGAAAAATACTTATGAATAATCTTAAGAAAAGGAAGTTTGAAACTAGACATTTTAAAACCATTCCCAAATATCTCTAGCTCACGCATCGCATATTCCTTTACTTTCACTTACAGGACTTTGCTCTTTGTTTTAATGCATTTAGGACATTGTTACATTTACTAAGTTTTGTCCTCAAATGAGATCATGCTCCTTTGTGCCAGTACAAAACTGTAAAGGACCAAAATTCAACTATCAAAGGAAGTCCTCTTTCCTGTCCCTTGTCTTATGTTTGCCATCGACAAAAACTCATTCTGTCCTGTGGTCTATTGATGTGGCTGCTACCTCAGAAGACTATTGTTTGTTCTTCATTACAGACACCCAAGCTGCACAAAATACAAAATGCAAAGTCAGGGTAAAAGCTTAATCCGATATTTTTGTCTCTTTGAGTTCAATGGGCTTTTGTTGACAGAGCAAGGTAAAGGGCTGACAGTAATGGATTTGATTATCAACACTGGATCTTTAATAATTGAAATGTTAGCTGCACAGTCAAGGAAGAATGGTTTTAGTGCATCGATTTTTAAGCTGGCAACAATCATTTAAACAAGCAGATCAAATGCCAGCTACGATCTTTATGTTGGATGTTACATGAAAAAAGAGGGTTGGCAGATGCCCCATATCTCCAACACAACCTAGTGCCCCAAAAATCATGTGCACACAACAAGGATTTCCTGCAGCAGTATTATAGTCAACAGTCTCCTATTGCGAATTCCTTGGAGGCCCTCTTCCATGGATTAGGCACAGAAGAGCAATGCCTGAAGGATGTTTCCTAGCCAATAAATTTCGCTTTAGGAAGCGCTCCCTCCCACGGAGCTTTGCCACACACCTCCTTGATTAAAAGTCTCACTTCAATACTTTACGCCTGCAAAACTCTCAACCGACAAGGGCTCCCTTGAGCATGTAGACAGAGAAAACAATAAAGTCAAACAAATAACAATGGCAGGAGGAAGAGAAGTTTGTAGTAAGACCAATGGCCATAAAACAAGACAGAGACTGGTCAAATTAGTAGGTCATTAGATCTATTTTTTTAACAAACTTCATTGTGCATTGGAAAGGAAATGTGAGCCATCCACCCAGGCAAACTGAGATAGGAATTGTTTCTTGCTTACTGTGCTTATCTTACAAAAAAGAGTTCCTCCTGAGACTCACAGCTTGAATCTATTTTGTTTCACCACTCTAACCAACCCAAAATAAAGCGGAGCCAGGATCTCAGTTTGGAAGCACTGGAAACTGGATGCTCAGAAGAAGATATGGGTCATGCTGAATTAGACCAAAGGTCTATCTAATCCTGCACTAAATTGCAGCGAAAAAGTCCAAAACTAAATGCCAATGTGGCTAAATGCCACAAACAGGACAGAAGAAGGACAGCATATTTCCATTGATGTTCCCCAGACAGCAACTGAGATCCAAAGCTATACTGGATATTGGAGGAAATATTTAGCCTTAATGCTTTGTTGTCCTGTGACTTCAAATCCATTTTACATAAGGCAACTCTATCATAGGTTTTTGAAAGCCAACATGGTGTAATAGATTGAGTTTAGGAAAAGGACTCTGGGACACCAGCTTTCAAATCCCTGCTTGGCCATGGAAACCCACTGGGTGACCTTGGGCACATCAAACATCCTCAGCCTTAGAGGAAGGCAAGAGCAAACCTCCCTAGAACATAGGTTTTCCAAACAGTCCGGTTTAGGATCATCTTAAGCTGGTAATGACTTGAAGATACCCAACATCAACAATTGTCAGAGTTTTTTGGTTAGGTTCATTCCTGGGAGGCTTGCCATTGACATCCTCTGAGGCTGAAAGAGTGTGATTTTCCCAAGGTTACCCACCAGGTTTCTGTGGCTTGAAGAAGAATTCAAATCCAGATCTCCAGACTCACAGTCCAACATTCAAGTCACTTCACCACCCTTGTGGCATCACCATCATAACTAGTAGCAAGTTATAGCAGTTTTCTTCTATGACTTCATCCAATTTGCACCCAAAACTGCCAGAAGTGACAGAAATCATATCATCCTGTGTAGTAAATTTCATGTTTCACTTATGTGTGGTGTGAAGTATTCACTTTTGTCAGTCTTGCATTTCCAATTTAAGTAATGCAGGGGGGGGGGGCTTTCTTTTACATCCACCTTCTTGACATTATGTATAAGTATACACATTTTATCATGTCTCTTCTTATGTGCTTATTTTCTGAGGAAAAAGTTATACACATGTTCAATTTTTCCCTAAAGTTGTGCCAACCCCCTTGATCATTTATAGTGTCCTTTGATGCACCTTTTCCCAAATGCACCCTTTTCTTTTTGAGTTGTGAGAACTTGAACCATAGACAGTTCTGCACATTCATTTGAAAGCATTAGGATAGCTATAGTTTTATTCTGAATGTGTTTCCTAAAAATGGCAACAGAGAATTTGACATTTTCACAGTGTCATACACCTCATGACGTTTTCTTTGAGCTGCTATCCATCACAACTCCAAGACTCCCTTCTTGGTCAGTCACTGCCAACTCAGACCTCATGGGTATATAGCCAGGATTTCTTGCTCCAGTACACACCACTTGCCATTTGTTTGCACTGAACCACGCTTGTCATTTTAATGGCCACTCTTTTTGCTGTCTTTTTGGTGTCTCCTGAAGTTTCCTGGCCACCTCACCCCCAGCCCCTAAAAGACAGGTAATATTCTATGTATTTTAACTATGCTGTATCCCACCTCTAGCTTTGGGAAGAGGTGGCTAACAATTATTATTATTATTATTATTATTATTATTATTATTATTACTACTACTAGCAAATACATGAATAAGAGAAGCACTTCCCCCACTCCACCAAAAGAAACTAAATTCAATTAGCGAATCCCATACAGAGGGTGAGATCTCAACAGAAGAAAGGTTAGTGCAGAAAGTTGAAGACAAACACATTCAAGGACTGGATGAGTTTCTCCTCCTCACCAAAGAGGTGGGAATGCAGAAAAACTGCCACTTTGTTTGGTACAGGTTGAGTATCCCTTATCCGAAATGCTTGGGACCAGAAGTATTTTGGATTTTGGGGTTTATTTTTGGATTTTGTTATCCCATTATTTGTACATATATAGGTAATGAGCTATCTCGGAGGTGGGTACCCAAGTCTAAACAGAGAAATCATATATATATATGCCTTATACAAATAACTTGAAGGCTATTTTATGCATAGTATTTTTTGAATAAATTTGAAACAAAGTTTGTTGTCATAGAGCCCTCAGAAAGCAAAAGAGTCCCTATTTCAGGCACCTGTGTGGACAATTTTGCGGTGTATTGTTGAAGGCTTTCATGACTGGACCTCACAACCTCTGAGGATGCTTGCCATAGATGCAGGCAAAATGTCAGGAGAGAATGCTTCTAAACATGGCCATATAGCCTGAAAAACCTACAACAACCTAATTTTGTGGTGTTTGGGCATTCTGGATTAAGGATGCTCCACCCATACTCCATGTGCAAAAAGAAGGAGGTAAGTGTCCATCTCTAGTTCACCCTTCACTCAAGGACACAGACAGATATGGAGACCTGACCCATTGGTGCTCCCTTGCCAGAGAGAAGCCTGAGGAGGTACCCAGGCAGATGATTTGCAATTTCCTTCGAGGAAATGTGAGGAATCCTAACTGCTGAGGCAATGTCTGGGATGCATCTACACCAGGCAGGGTGTAGATGCATCCTGGGCCCTCCAGGTGTTTTGGACTCCAGCTCCCACAATTCCTAACAGCTCAGATCCCTTCCTTTCTTTCCTTTCTGCTTAAGTGGCTAAGGTGGAAAAGGAAAGGGCCTGAGGCTGTTAGGAATTGTGGGAGTTGAAGTCCAAAACACCTGGAGGACACAAGTTTGCCAGTGACTGAGACAGATGGTAGGTGGCACAAGTTGTGTTTCTCAAAAACTAGAGTTGATAGGGTGAAACAGGTGCTGTTTTTGGAACCTGCAGGCCAAAGAGCCCTGTTACTGGGTATATCGGACCTGCAGAATCCATAAATGGCACCAGTTTCCCCCTATCACCTCTAGTTTTTGAGAAACAGAACATATTTCACCACCTACCATTGATCTGCTTGCCTATAGATCAGGCCTGGGCAAAATTGGGCCCTCCAGGGGTTTGAATTTCAACTCCCACCATCCCTAACAGCCTCAGGACATTTCCTTTTCTTCTCCTTTCAACTTAAGTGGCTGAGGGGGAAAAGGAAGGAGCCTGCAGCTGTTAGGAATGGTGGGAGTTGAAGACCCCCTGAAAATCTCTGAATGGTGGGAGTTGAAGTTCAAAACACCTGGAGGGCCCAAGTTTGCCCAGGCCTGTTGTAAAGTCACTGCTTTGGTTGCAATGGCTCATTACTTTGGACTCTTGTGACCTGCATCTTGCGAGAGCAGCAGCATCAGAGAAGGCCAGGCAGAGACCTTGGCAAAACCAGAACTCCGATGATTCGGCAGCATCGAGCCTTAGCCAAAGTCCCACACAGTGTAGATGCACCCCTCTCAGACACAGAGGGAGGGCGAGGAGGGCGGAAGAAGGGGATCCAGGCGCCTGGGCAGGGACAGCCTGGCACCAGCTAGGGAGGCAGGGAAAGAGGGAGGGAGGGAAGGAGGGAGGGAGGGAGACAGAGAGGGTCAACCGCCGCCATCTGGACAGAGGAAGGGGCGGGAAGCCAGCGCGGGAGGAAAGGCGGGTGTCCGAGACGGGCCTGGGAAGAGCCAGAAGGGCTGGGAAAGGAAAGGCTGGGAGAGAAGGCCTGGGAAAAGAAAGGCGAGAGAAAGCAGGACCGGGAAGAGGAAGGCTTGGGAAGGAGGAGAGAGAAAAGGCTGGGGAAAGCAGGGCTAGAGAAAGCCGGGCTGGGAAGAGCAAGGCTGGGAAATGCCTCCCGCCATCTGCCGTCTCCACACCCCCCCAAGTGGCTTCTACCTGGAGCGACTCGTTGGCCATCTCTGCTGCTGCTCCTGCTGCTGCTTCTTCTTCTTCCCGCGGCTCCCTCTCGGGCCTCCCCTACAGCCCCGACCGGGCCGCCCCGCTCTTCCTCCTCCTCCTCCTCCGCCTCCTCTTCATCCCCCGGGCCAAGGGGAGCCGTCCAGCCCCTCCGGGGGCCGCGCGGGGAACGAGGAGCGGGGAAGGCTTTCCTGCCGCGCCGCTCTCCCCGGAGAGGGTCTTGTCCCGCCTTATTGTTGCTGCGGGGTCGACCCCGCTCGGCTGGCTTGCTGGCTCTCTCTCTCTCTCTCTCCCCGCGCCCCTCCTTCCCTCCCTCCTAACTTGCCGGGCTGGTCACGTGATCAGACGGGGAGAGGGAACAGGAGAGAGAGAGAGAGAGAGAGAGAGATGAGTCTGGGAAGTGGAGAGGAGGAGGAGGCACATCCCCGGAGCCCAGGCAAGGGAGGAGGAGGAGGAGGAGGAGGATGCTGGCCGGGGCAGTGCTTGCAGCAGATGCGGCAGCGATCCTCTCTCTCTCTCTCTCTCTCTCTCTCTCTCTCTTTCTCTCTCTCGGTCTCCCTTCCTTTCTTTCAGGAGCGGATTAAGAGAGATTAGCGGGTGGGAAATTGCGGGGAGGGGGGGGGGGTTAGGGGAGGAAGGAAAGGAGAGCAACCCACCCCCGGCCTTCCCAGAAACGAAAGCAGATCTCGTCCCTTCCTCATACAATTACCCGTGTTGTCGAAGGCTTTCATGGCCGGAATCACTGCGTTGCTGTAGGTTTTTTGGGCTATATGGCCATGTTCTCTAGAAGCATTCTCTCCTGACGTTTCGCCTGCATCTATATAGGGAAGGCATCCTCACAATCTCTGAGGATGCCTGCCATAGATGCAGGCGAAACGTCAGGAGGGAACGCTTCTAGAGAACATGGCCGCAGAAAAACCTACAGCAACCCAGTGATTCCGGCCATGAAAGCCTTCGACAACACGGGTCATTGTCTGAGGAAGGGACGAGATCTGCTTTCCGTTTTTGTCTTTCAGAGATTCGTTCAGCTTTTAAATTATGGTTAATTTATTTGCATTGTGTATGGTTTCACGTTTGTTTTGTGTGTATTTCTTCAAATTTTATAAGTCATCCTGAGTCCCAATTCCTAGAATTCTGGATAGAATCAGAACCATTGATGGTCCACATCAGCCATACTCGGTAGACAGTGAAACCAAGGTCATAACAATAGCAACTATTTGTTTAAAAACACATGTATGGCCATCTAGATATTGTTGTACTCCAGGCTTGGAAACACCTATGACTACCACACCAAACAAGAGTCCAGGAATATAAGCAAATAGTTTATTGTAAAAGCACATAAAAGCATATAAAAATCAGGAATAAGAAAGAAAGGTATATAATCCAAAAAGGTTTAGCAACAGGTGATAATCCAATAGTAATCCAAATGTCTCATAAAGTTCCAGAGGTGACAAAGTCCAGGAACAGCCAGAATTCACAGGTACAGCATAAGTCCTCAAGCTAGAAGGAATAACTAGTAAAACTTGAACAGGAGTGCATGAACAGGAACATAGAAAACTTCCAGAATATATTCAATTCAGAACCAAAGCTTGACTTGAACCAGGAATGAGAGAACTCAGGCTTAGCTTCTCACTCTTACACAGCATTGCCTGGACTGCCCTTAAGGTAAACAACTTGTTTAATAGACACCCGTGAAAGCATTATGTACCCCATGAATTTTCTCCACAACTTTCCACCTAATTTCTCAGACTGACGCCATCTGTTTTCAACTCTAGTTTGTAAACGGAGACTTTTGTTTATCTCTGTAGCTACAGGTGGTTTTCCCTGGGAACCCTCCATATTACTCAGCTCTTCACCCAGTTCCTTATCTGCTGGCTCTTCTGACTGGCCTTGAGGCCCTGTACTTTCTGAGCTAGTTTCCTCATAGAGAGAACAATAACTTCCCTGAATTTCCTAGACTTGAGGGCCCATCCCTTCGAGCCACAGCAAAGCCCACAATCCTCTCTAAATCATCAGTTAAACCATCAGTTTATGGCTGATATACAACAGACATTGGAATATAATCCACAACATTCAACAGCGTTGCTAATGCTGGTCAAGACTGGTTAGAATGGCAGAGTAACAACATCTGGAAGGTTGCAGTGTTAGTGGAACTTCTCTTCTACTGGAAGTATTATCAGGAATGAAGGACTAGAAATCATAGGTCTGGACTTATGCTGAACTCTGAAGTGCATTAATGCTTTCCTCAAGAACACAGACAGATGAATCCAGTCCAAGAGCATTTCTTAAATAAGAAAGGTATTTATTTAGAAAGGGATAAACTGCCAGGATAATGTAAAAAATAAATTTGCACTGTTAAGCCTAATTGACAAGGAGCCAGAAAAATTCTGGCCGGAGGCTACAGACGTGGTCAGCAACAAATGCAAAAAGACACTATCTGCAACCAAAGAGAACAAGAAGTCATCGACAGATGGAAGTCTTCAAGCAGTTAAGGACACACAAGAAGCAAAAGTACAAGGGGGGAAATGGAGTCAGAATCCTGAATGCAAATGTCCAATGACTTATGTATTGAGACAAGGAAAACTGCTATAATAATCACAGAAACAGAAGAGGTCAACAAAAAAGAAAACAAGATACCTCCTCCACAAGATCCAAGGAATCAAATGGATTTTTAAACTGAAACTGGGGATGTTGTACAGCCATCAAGGGATCAGTTCGCATCACCACACTTATAGGTATTATTTTTGAGAATGTAATTATTTGCAGATTTATCTTGGGTTTTCTAGTGTGATTCTATGATCAACTTCCACCAGGCTGGAATACCTAGAGAAATGTTCCTAGAGAAATGTTCTTTCAGGTGAAAAAAATGTAAATTTTTTTTACTTGTAGTTTTTTTTCCACTTTGTGAGGCTCCTGCACCTCTCAGCCAGGGAATGTGAAAGAATGAGGGTAGAAATAAAAACACAATGGAAACAATATACAGAAGAACAACATCAAATATATGAAAGGATGATGGATTCATTCCAGGAAAAAAAATGGGTGGGGGGGACAACAATGTTAGAAAGGAAAGGGGAAGCTACACTCAGAGCACTTAGGAGAAATAAATCAACAGGAACAGATGATATACCAACAGAGCTGCTTCAAGTTACAGAGGGAGAATCTACTCTACTTCTAACTTAAGTCTGTCAACAAATATGAAAACATATCAATGGCCGATAGATTGGAAATAGCTGATATACATTCCAATCCTGAAGAAAGGGAACACCAGGGATTGCAATAGCCACCAGGCCATTGCATTAATTTCCCATGCAAACAAAATGCTGCTCAAAATTCTACAATAAACACTTTTACTATATATGGAGCAAAAATGTCAGATGTCAAAGGTGCATTTTAAAAAAGGAAGAGTCATTAGAAATTCAATAGGCAATGAGTCAGGCAAGGATGTATTTTATCCTATCTATTTAACTTGTATGTTGAACATATCATATATAAAGCACAATTGGACTCGGAGGAAAGAGGTGTGAAAGTTGGAGGAAGGAACATCAACAATTTAAGATATACAGATGGCACTATACTATTAGCAGAAAATAGCAGTGACTTGGATTGGTTACTGAAGAATGTCAAAGGAAGAAGTGTAAAGACAGCTGAATATCAAGACAACAAAAATAATGACCACAGATGTTTTACATAACTGTAAAGAAGACAATGAAGACATTGAAAGAGTTTGTGATTTCCTCTATGTGGAAGAAAACGTAGACGTGTAGTTAAATCAAAATAAGGCTATGACTTGGAAGGGCAGCTATGAAGGAACTAGACCAGATACTAAAGTGTAAAGATATGTCATTGAACACTAAATTTAGGATTATCCATGCTATCGTATTTCCAGTTTCTATATATGATTGTGAAAGTTGGATGATGAAGAAAGCTGATGGAAAGAAAACCAATGGCATCTTTGGATGCCATAGACTATAAAATAAATAAATAAATAAATAAATAAATAAATAAATGGGTCCTAATGCAAATCAAGCTTGAACTTATCCAGAAAGTCAAGATGACCAAACAGAGGCTTTTTGTACTTTGGGCATAACATGAAAAAGACATGACACTAGAAAAGACAGTAATGCTTGGCATGGTAGAAAAGAAGAAGATAGTATCACTCGGTCAAGGAAGCTACAGCTCTTCATCTGCAAAATCTGGGCCAATAGGTTGACTTTCAGGTCTCTCATTCATAGGATCACCATCAGTCAAAGTTGACTTGATGGCAGTTAACAGAAAATGTCAGGAAGAGAATTGTCAGACATGCTCAGAAAATATGATGTGAAATCTCTAACTTCAAATATAAGTCTTATCTTTTAAATGATGGTGTTAATATTAGAATCTCACAAATTGGGAAAAGCTGGGATTTGGGGAGATTATCAATATACTGCACTTTTCCCCCTCACAATCTGCTGCAAAAGTGTCATCCTTGTTCTGAGTCATAATCTGGAGCTACTGTATACACTTTTCTTGTGAATTAACATTTGTTCTTCCTTAGGTAATATCTACAGTTTCACCGTCACTCTTTCCTGAAACTAATTGGGAAATTGCAAAATATATATATTTTTTTGCAGCCCGGCTTTGCCTTTCCTAAGTTTATTTCTCTCCAATGAGCTACTGAGAAGACAGATCATTCTTGCAAACAGTCTTTGTACAAACAGAAAACTGTGTGGTATCCTGAGAACGTGGACTTAATTCAGCATCAGAGAAAGTTATTCATTTTCTCAGTGCTGTAACAGATTCTGTCATGCAGTGGAAGAACCTGAGGCAAAGCAAAATGGACCATTAACATGAAGAGAGCTAGAAGTGATTGAGTCCAGTGAGGTCTGGACATACCAAACTTCATATGGGATCAGGCTGTTTGTGACACCAAATTGGGAGGGATAGCCAATACTCCAGAAGACAGGAACAGAATTCAAAACAATCTTAACAAATTAGAGAAATGGGCCAAAATTAACAAAATGAAGTTCAACAGTGACAAATGCAAGGTACTCCACTTAGGCAGAAAAAATGAAATGCAAAGATACAGAATGGGGGATGTGTGACTTGAGAGTAGTATGTGTGCAGGCCCGTAGCCAGGATTTCGATTGGGGGGGGGGCTGAGTTTTTTTCAGGGGGGGTTCGGGGGGGCTGAGTCTGAGTGAAAGAGGGTCTACCCTAGCAAACCTTTTGTATCGTTACCCCAATACCCCCATGCATATGGGATATATTGAGCATGGTGATCAGATCATGATATGAATAAACATAACAGTTTAAATAATGTACCAGTCAGGCCTTTTTGCGCAACCACCATGAGAATTTTTGGGGGGGAGGGGCTGAAGCCCCTCAAACCCCCCCCCCCTCCCCGGCTAAATGCCTGTATGTGTGAAAAAGATTTTGGGGTCCTTGTAGAAAACAAGTTAAACATGAGCCAACAATCTCATGTGGCAGCAAACAAAGCCAATGGGATTTTGCTCTGCATCAATAGGAGTCTAGTGTCTAGA